ATACTGAAAGATTCGTACTATACAAACAATACTTCGGTGTCCAAAATCAACGAATGTTGTTTATTGATAATCTTTGATAACGTTGCTGCTAGATAAGTTAGGGCGTTGAATTAACTATCACCAATTATCGACACGCGAACACGACATCGTTAAATAAACAATGTACTCTCAACGTTCATTTCAACGCAACGCAACTCAACGCAAACGCAACGCAACGACAACGGGTAAAACGCGTTGGGATTTTTGCAATAAAACTGGCCGGTACTGTATATCATAATAGTGATAACCCTAATGGATGTCATTGTCATTGTTGCCACCACTGCCATTGTCATGATGTAGCAATCATGAATATTTGTTTATTTAAAGATTTACTGTCAGTGATGAAATCTAGAAAAACCTTTTTTATTTGATTTCAGTATGTTCATAAAACCATTGAACATAAAATTAATTATATGTACCTTTGCAAGAAAAATAAATAACTATAAATATTTATGGTTCATTCCACAACTTCTTAGCATGCAAAACATTGCATTTATTCTTTCCCTTATACTAATGATTGCCTGCATGCATACAATAACTGACGATGGTAGAAGCACTGCCGAAACATGTCTCTTTGGGGACGCCAAAATTGCACAGAATTAATTTACGATCTGTTGTGTTGTTTTTTGAAAATTATTAGCTGTCTGCTATTAAATCATTCTTTTGGAAATAAATATATATAAACTGTAATATAATTTTTTTTTATATAATCAAAGTCTAGAACCTCAGTCCTATAGAGTCCTAAATAAAATCATCAATGATATATTTAGGTAGATGGCATAATTATATGCTTTATATTTGAATTTGAATTTTGTTCTTAGGTTAAGTACAACTGGAGCTATATCATTTTCAAATTCAGATTTCTGAAAACATACTTTAGAAGGAATTTCCACTAAAGATAAACAACTGGTTTTGTGTTGGTTTACCAATAAATTCTGAATAAGAGCTTTAAAAATGGTACCTCAAAAACACCTTTAGCATATGTGAATGAATAAACATTTGCTATTGTGAAATATGCAGTACATATTTATTTTGCCTCAGGGCTGAAGATCAGTTGATTTCTGATGTTCTAGTAACTGCCATGTTCAAGGAGAGGGTGTAGACCACTAATTTATCCTGACACAACTGCAAGAGATACTGGTACTAGACCGGAGGAGCTTGCACCAGCTAGAGCTGACAGAACGCTGTGGCGTGTCCGAGTGTCATCTATCTCGACTGCGGTCGATGGATGATAAAGATGATTTATTTATCATCAGATAAGCACTGAAACCTAATTTTTTTGTCAAAATATGACTTCATATATAATTTTTTGAAAATATCAAATTGACTCATTTTGTCACCTCACATTTCCACAATTTTATTAACAGCTGTTGATGCCTGTGCTAACCATTTATGTTTGAATGGAGCTGCTTGCAATACTGTCCCAGGCATGTGTACAGTCTACACATGCACGTGTGTAGGATGTTATACTGGTGGATTCTGTGGTACAGGTGAGGGTTACATCAAATTTCTTGCACGTTTTTACACGTTCTTGAGTGGCGGTTTCACATGCTGCATATCTGGCCATTAACAGAACTGGTCCATGGCACCCGGATTTTGGAAAAAACCTGGGTTATACATCCTGCTGGTTTGTTGAATAGCGAAGGGTTCTTAAATTATTTATTGCCACTGGAGCCCATGAGATGGATTGAGTGATTGTAATGGGTTTCTTGTTTACATTCCAATGGCTATATGTTGCTGGCCAGGACTCTCTTGTTAACTCCCAATGGACTCTTAAAACCAATTAAGTTAAGTTTATGGAGCTGCTAACAGCTCCCTCTGGACCATTTGACAGCTCACTCTCAACTACCAGACAGCTCACTATATGGACCATTTCTGCTAACAGGGACTTTTGCCTCATGCAGGGATTTGAAATAGAGTGGGGGTGCCAGGAAGACACTTCCACAGATTCCAACTTGGGCCCGCCAAAGATTTGATTTTGGCCAGCGTGGCATTGCTAAAAAATAAATCATTTTTCCCACCGATTTTTAATAAAGTATATTATCATAATTTAGGAAACATTTTTGAAGTACATTTGTTAGAACTCTGCAAGCAATGTTAAACATTCCACATAAATGGACCCACGAGTCCTTTTGAGAAGACTTAATTTCAGCTTATGACAATTAGAATTTCAAAATAGCTTAGCTACTGCCCACGGACTTGTTTTTTTATACTTGCTAAATATTGGAAAATTGAGTAAACAATACTGTTTTCATTCATTTTTAGTGTATATTTGTATTCTTTTCCCAGAGATCTCAGCATGCTCAAATAACCCATGCCAAAATGGTGGGAATTGTGTACAAAATCCTGGATCATGTACTGCATATACATGTGTATGTCCTAACTGCTATACAGGAGTACTATGTGAAACAGGTAAAGAAACCCATAATAAACGTTTCTATGAGTTCAGTTATGTCAAATTTTTAATTCAAAATGCTTGTCATTTGAATTTCTTTCTGTTTTATGAAATTGATTGATGATTGACTTATATTGAAATTAATAGATTTGATTAACAAATAGAAAAATGAAGTCACAGAGAATTGGAGATAATAAATAAAACAATCTGGTCAAACACTGTATAAGATCTGCCCACATTATCAAATGTTCATTGACAAAAAAAAACTTGTTTGCCCATATATAGTCATGATGTGCCTATATATGGTCATTATGTGATGTCATCATGTTCATATTTAGGCAAGTCACTTATTTTTTTGTCAAATGAAATATGGTAGTCTGGACAGGGTTTTATGTCTGACAGACCAAAATTTGACAGTGCAATAGTGGCTCAAAGATGAAAATTCAGGTTGTCAAACTTTCCAGCAAAGTACAGCTGCAGGGGCACTACAGGCCGATTCGGACGAGTAAAATTTAACTGGTTACCACCAGCTGAGTGGTCGCATGCGGCAATTAAATAATGCCCCTGGGTATAGAAAATTCGAAAAACATCTGGCCCAAAAACCCACCTTTTTTTTTACTGGATATTTTAATTACACCTTGCCTTAAGGCGTAATTAATCACTCGTAACAAGGCCCAGGTCACAAGTTGACCCTTCAGATTTGTAAACAACGGTGGATCAGAGTGCACTGGACAAAAAGAAGCTTGCGACCACGCTGCATGATTCTTCGCGTTATTGCCCAAGCTTTCTTTCCACGCTGGTTGTTGTCTTCGTCGTTGCTGTACTTTCTTCGTCGAAAAGCTTGGTTTAGATCAAATCCGTCGTTGAGAAGCAATATAAAAGTTGTCAGCATAGTTAGGTCGGCTGGGTTAATCATAATTCGGCGTCAATTTGTAAGGATAATCGCAAGGAAATGAGAAAACTGTATAAAAAGTAAGCAGAAATAGCGTAAATTTGTGTATGAAATATTGAAATTGCCGCAAAACATTGCTAATTTGACACAGGGTCGTCATTCAGGTCACGAACTATTCAGAATTCTGACCTTGTAGGAGCTTATAAAATACGTAACTTCCGTCAAATTAATGGGTAAATGGATTGTTATTTTACTTGTCCGAACGACCGTCACATTTAGCCCTGAGGTTATTAGTAGTTTACCCATGTAATTGAGTTTACGTCCGAATCCAACCCTAGAGAAATTGGAGAATGTTGGGTCATAAGCTGTAAAGCACAAGTTACCAATTTGCACTAAACAACACTTCATTAAAAGTAATCATTCAGTCAATGAATCAATATGTCAATCAACCAATCAAAAAAAAATAATATGGGGAGGTTGACTAGAAAAATGATGAATGAAATTCTTCTATTTCATTGTTACTTTCACTATTAATTTTCTTTTTCAGTAACTGATGGTTGCCAGAATCATGCATGTCAAAATGGTGGTGCTTGTATGCTGACCCCTGGACAGTGCTCTAGCTACACTTGCACATGTCCAAGCTGCTACATGGGGTCATTGTGTCAAACTCTTATTAATCCCTGCTCCAATAGTCCATGTCTGAATGGTGGTGCCTGCACGGTAGTTCCAGGTGGCTGTACAGATATTATATGTGTGTGTTCAACATGTTACACTGGTACATTTTGTGAAAATGGTAAGTCAGGCAGACAGACATATTCTGTTCTTGTTTCTTATACCACTATGTTATTGTTTAAATTATGTATTTTACAGCTACAATAATAAAATAATAATTAAGTGGTGGTACTAACATTAACAACAGCGAATGAGAGCTTTATTATCAAGTGATGTTCCTTATAACAGCTACGGCTACCCCTCTTTGATTAGTAAATTAAACCACTGCTCTTATTGCATAATAAAAAAAGTGTTATATAAGTGACAATAAAATAAATAAATTCAGATTGATGCCTTCCTTCTGACAGCTTAAGCCCCACCTGTTCCCTCCTTTTAAACTTTTTCTGGCTCTTCTATGATGCCTTGCATCGTACTGTAAGAAGGGACTATATGAATTTCGATATTGTTTTTATTATTGATAAAATTGATATTTTTTTAGTGGAGACCAACCTTATTTTTGTGTGTCACAAGGCAGTCACACTGAAATCCTACACAAGTGTAATAATATGGAACTCTTCAATAGAAAGCTGAGTGTGTTTGATTCAATGTAGAGTCTCCTTGTTGGCAAGATGCACTGTACAAGACAAACAGTGGTGTCAACTTTCAGAGAAAAAGTAAAGAAAAAAAAAAGCTAATTTTTTTTTTGGCCTAATAATAATCTTATTCTTTTAGCTGTTAGAGCATGCACGAATAACCTTTGTCAGAATTCTGCTCTGTGTATGGAAGTATCTGGTTCCTGCACTGACTACAACTGCTTATGCACTGGATGCTATACAGGAACATTTTGTCAGACATGTAAGTTGGTGTGCATTTGTCGGTTGGTTCATAGTCCTCAGTGATTTCAATTGATTTAGTTGTTGTGAGTCAACAAGATTCTACCAGAAACTAAATAGTATATACTATGAGGCCTACCTGTTCATGTCCGTAGGCCTACAATGGCACCTTCCTGATAGTTTATGACCAAGAGCCCATTCTATTATAGTTGCTATTTAGTAGCCAGCTATATGCTTCTATGTTATCTTGAGTATTAATATAGCACCTCTTTGCACAGGAGTTAAATGTCTAGGGCTTGCCGGATAGGCTATCTATATCCAACGTATGTCCACTTACTGCTCATGAAGTTGTCCAAAATTAGAATATTTTGATTTGTTGTTCTGTCCACTGCAAACAAATGCAGCAGCTTACATTATGCCATTCTCTTCACTGTTTAGTCAAATCCATTTAATAAAGTATTTTACAAATTACTTTTTTCATTCCAAGCTTCTTTTCTTTCCTCACCGATGGCACTGTACAATTGAAAAAAATATAGGAAGACAAGTGTATATCCTTTCATGATACATCCTATTTTGTTCTGAATTTTAATTTTTTTAATACTATGTATACCATGTGTAAATAGCAATTGTACTAAAAGAAAAAATGTTCTTAATGCATTTCGTCTACCGACATAGTACATTTTAATTTGTGGTTTTTGTGCTAAGCTATGTGTAGACCATTTTGTGATAGTTGCTGCTTTCATTTTGTTTTCCCAACTTTTAAGTCTCTTGTTTGCTTCCCTTTGCAGGTTAATCAATAATAATCAATCTTTTATTTTCAGCGAGTGATTCATGTGGGAGTGCCCCTTGTCAAAATGGGGGCCAGTGTATCCTAGCCACTGGCTCATGTACTTCATATACCTGCCAGTGTCCAGCCTGCTACACTGGAACATTCTGTCAAACAGGTATGTCTTGGATTATAGGAAACCCATTTCTTTCATAACTCCTTCAGATTAGTTGTGGGACTAGTTTGGGCCCTACCTAAGCTGGTCGAACGTTTCGTTTGGGTCTGTACCCTAGATGCACTGATGAGGCCTGGAAGGCCGAAACGGATCTGTCTGCAGATATTGGGATTCCTTCCAGTGGATGTTTAGTTTAGAAAGTATACACATTTTGACTGTAATTATGTATTGTATTTTCACATTTACAGTGAAATGAAGGGGCGTTTATTTGAGTATATATATATATATATATATATATATATATATATATATATATATATCCATTTTACACAAAAAAAAAGTCTTCCTCGAATAAAGTTTTCCCTCGGATAAACGCTTCTCAAAAACCCTTTATTCGAAAAAAAAAAATATGATACTGATTTTTGATATCTCATCAGCTTTGAGTGCCTGTGATAACCATGCCTGTGAGAATGGAGGAACATGTGTTGCAATGCCAGGGTCTTGTACATCTTATACATGCATTTGTTCCACATGCTACACAGGTGCTATATGCCAGACAGGTAAGATTATGTTTGAGATACATTTGTTCCAATGCTAGTGTATTGTACATCTTATACATGCACCTGCACTGCATTCTACTTACCAGAGAGGTAAGACTATTTTTGAGGCACATGTGCTACAATGCCAGGGTCTTGTACATCTTATACATGCACCTGTACCACATGCTACACAGGTGCTATATGCCAGACAGGTAAGACTGTTTGAGGTACATGTGTTGCAATTCCAGGGTCTTGTACGTTTTATACTTGCACCTGTACCACATGCTACATACTGTACCAGAGACGTAAGACTATATTTCAGGTACATGTGTTGCAATATCAGGGTCCAAATGTTAACGTGTGAAATAAATGGCTAGGAAAGGCAATACAACAGTTCAAAATAGTGTTTATTTGCTTATTCTAACCTTCTAGGATTTTATGCTTTGAAATTTAAGTGATCCTTCATAAACCTTAGCTACTGTAGCCCTAACATTGCAGCATAGTTGGCAGGTCAAAGACCATCATGCACACCTAACCATGCCGTAGAAGTACGGGGGCCTAGGCCTGACATTTGTCAAAATATCTGAATGCTTGTGGCCAGTATCCTTTACAGCATTAGCAAACCATTAAGGCAAAATTCTCAATTTTAATTTTCAATAAATTTGATATAATTTACTGGGAATTATAATTTTTACAGCAATCTCCATGTAAAACACCGCTGTGTCAATTGATTGTTTATATCCAACATCCAAGTTACATCATGTGATGCCCATCTCCGAATCCCTCTATTGTTATGAATAATTTTATTTGTAAAATACTATATTATTTAAATTAAATACTGTAGGCCAATGCATTTTTTTAATCATTTTTATGTACAGCTGTTGATCCGTGTACTAACAACCTTTGTCAGAATGGTGCTGTATGTAATGCTGTTTCTGGCTCCTGTACTGACTACACCTGTGTATGTCCAGCTTGTTATTCCGGCACTTTCTGCACTACATGTGAGTACATTCCTTACACGTATTGGACATGCGGGAAAACTGGTCACCGGGCCAGATGCAGCCGTGAAATTTGCTGTGTGTTCTTGAAAATATATTAGAAACCCTATGTGTGCATACCATCTTTGGCTACAAAACACCCCTGGTCAATGCCAATCATATTTAAAAAGTAATATCAAAACTGAGCATTAAAGCAAAATAAAGTAGTGCTTGGTGGTATTTTGCAAGCACACTGTAAACATCAATGTTTTTTGTGTTTAGTTTTTTTCAGTTTAGTTTAGATTTATTCAGTTCATTCAGATACAATATTCAAAAATGACAAAAATATACAACAAAACAAATGACAACATTATCTGATTGAGCCAAGAAATAACTTAAGAAAGTTTGAAAATAAACTTATTTCCATTGGCTTCCTTAATATAAAAGAAAAAAATAATAGGTTCCTTAGTGTTAAATGAAAAATTTGCTTTGGATCATTTTACACCCACTCTGCTCTAGTGAGTAAGGCTGCTTGCACAGTGTACAAATTATACACCTACACCATGAAGACTCCTGGATATAACTTATAGATAGTGAAATGTTGTCTTTATTTGAATTAATAAACTGATGATTTAATGATTCTTTGTGAATATCTCCAGTTATGAGTGCATGCGATAACCATGGATGTCAAAATGGCGGTGTGTGTCAGCCTGTGTCGGGATCCTGTTCCGCCTATTCATGTGCTTGCACAGGCTGTTATATGGGAACTTTCTGTAGTGTACGTAAGTAGCTGTATCTTCAATCATTCGTGATGTAAAATAGATTTTAATACACTCTAGTAAATTAGTATTTTTCAAACATAATAAAAGGAAGTAACTATGAAGATAACAAACTTGAAAACATCTCTTACTCTAAACGACACTTTTATATTGTTAGTATAATTATTATGCATTCAGGTCCATTCAGTTAAATACTGTTGCTCTATAAATATTCAGGGTTATTATCTAGTATTGTACTGATATAATTCTTGGTTTCCATTTTCTTAGGTGCAAACAGCTCAATTAGTAATTAATCAGTTTATTGATTTGTTGATTGATATTTTTGATTTGTTAAGATTAGAATTATATAATTATTGCTGTACTGTACTATACTGAATATGTTTGGAGTTTGTTTTATTATTCCTTTTGCTCCGTAGCATTTAGTGCATGCACTAACCATCAGTGTCAAAATGGTGGAGGATGTGTGGCCGTTCCTGGATCGTGTTCTGATTACACATGTACGTGCCCAGACTGCTACACTGGAACATTCTGTCAGACAGGTAATTAAATATTTGTTTAAATTGTGACCTAGAGTCTGTGTGCTATTAAAGTCTCTTGTAATTATCTTGAAAAATGAATGTCTTTCAATTTGAAAACACCAAGGTAAACCCAACAAAGTCTGAAGACTAACTTCGTGTAGGGTCTTTCTTTTGGTGATTGGGCAGTATACCTGGAGACAATCCCTACGCTTTTTTCAAGAGTGTACTGCGTAAACAAACAACCAATGGCTTAATGCCTCATTTGAAACTTGCCTTTCAGCTCTCCAGTTGAAACAGAAGGAAAGAAGTCCAGTTGGTACCACCAATTAAGCTGACTCAGCTAAACTGCTCTCTCCCCAACATAACCCCTCTAAAGTGATTTTGAAACTTTGAAATGTCATTTAAAAGGATCGAATAAGTTCTTAACTTCAATTGAAAGACATCAAGACAATTCAGACTGTTAACAGAAAAAGTAAACCTCTGCAAAGTACTGTATTTATTTCATCTGGTAATTGTGCAAAAACACTGTATTATTTATGTATCTGTTCTTTGGAAAAGATAATATATTTTGTCAAAATTTTCATATTCGTTTTGTTTGGTAATTGAAACAATTAAAAAATTGATAAATGTGTTTGTGTGCAATGTTTATATCTGCAGAAAGACTTGCTTGCACCGGACATTCATGTCAGAATGGAGGAGTTTGCGAAATAGTTGCAGGGTCATGTATGCATTACACATGCGAATGCCCAACATGCTACTCTGGAGGCTTTTGCGAAACATGTATGTTTTCCTTTTCTTATCATATTTTATTTTAAAAAATCATTAGCTTTAAAAGCCAAATCTGTATCACTTTATGCAATTTATCTTTTATTTTTGTGTATTTAAAAAGAATTAATCTATATTTAATGATTGTGACCTTTTAGATCATAAACTTTCTTCCCCTTCTGAAGACAAACATGCACACAAGATTCTCTACATAAACTCATTATGGGAATTGAGTTGTTTTTGATTGTGAAAAACAAATCCTGCAACATTGACAGGAATTGAACCTAGTAAACTGGGATTGAAGGCAAGAACCCACACACCAAATCTACTTCAGTGCATTTGTAAGGCCAATAATATGTTACCTAAACCTTCAAAATGCCACATGTAGATGTTTCTCAGCAATTTACCCCTAAGGATACGATTCTTGAATGCATTAGTAGCCTGAAATTGCTAGGGGTTACTATTCAGGACCGTGTTCGGAACCCCCCATCTTGAGGTAGTACTTTGTTTTTCATTTTATTGTGTGGATGCAAAATCAAAACAGTCAGACCTCTTACAATTCTATGCTGCTTTGAAATTGATAGATAAAGAATGAAACAATAATATACTTGTCTATTTTGTCTTAATCAGTTTTCGACCCATGCGTCAACAGCTTGTGTCAAAATGGTGGTGTTTGTAGACAATCAGCTTCAAACTGCATGTCGTTCAAGTGTGAATGCTCTGCGTGTTTCACTGGAACCTTCTGCGAGACAGGTGAGGTCAACATCACATGGCAACCGTCAAAGCTCTTTACATATTTTTGTTACATTAAATGTAAATTTATGTATGTACCAACTTATTTATAAGTTGGTACATGGTACAGTAGTGATATAAAAAATTTCCCAGCAAAGTGACCTGATTAAATAGTGCCAGTAAAGAAGGCTAATTGACAGATTGTTTTGTTTTTTAAAATATTGAAATAAGCCCTAATATTACTAATAATTTTTAATAGAATTAAGCTCAAAAACATATTACATGCCTAAATATGGTCATGATGACATCATGTCATGACCATATTTAGGCACATCATCACATTTTTAAGCTATCATGATCGTACAATAATTTCATAAATATGGATCATCACATTTTACTCCAAAAAGATAAATGCCAGTCCAAATAAATACTGTCATAGATTAAACACCACCTGAAAAAAAAAAAAAATAAATAAATAACTGAGGCATGTATTAAAATAGATACAATATGCGGAATACAAGGCTGACATAATGTTACTTATGTGTGTATGTAAGATGTTTTGCTATTATTTTTCAGAGGTGGATACATGTGCTAACCATGTTTGCATGAATGGTGGCGCTTGCATTGCTACATCATGTACGTCGTATATGTGTACCTGTCCCGCATGTTATAGTGGGGCTCTTTGTCAGACCGGTGAGTCAACAAAATTGATATGTCCATTAATTGTATATTATAATTCAATTTTTTTTTTCATTTTACTTGGAAAAAAATTATTAGTATAGCCTATTTTCTAGTAATCTAAAAAGTTGTGTGGAAAAACTTACAACATACTAAATTTAACTTGGGGATAATTTTCTTTTGATACTTCTGCCTTCTTCAGCTGACTTATGTTAAATTATCATTACCGTATGGCTCACTGTTCATAACCCTTAATTTATGTATTTCAAAGAGTCTTCCAACAGGGATGCTTTGTTTCCACTTACAGGCGAAAATTTCAAAAATAAACTAATATCACATTTTTTGAATAATTATTATCATCATTTTTATTGTCATTGATACTGTATACTGTGTATTTATATTAATTAAAATTACAATTAAAATTACTCTCAGAATATTTACAAATTAAACTCAGAACACACGACACTAACAAGATAAATACAATTATTTAAGTGTCATTTAAACATATTTAAAGAATTGGAAAACAGATCTTTTGCAAGAAAATCATTATACAAATTAAATAATCGTGAAATAAATCCATTTTTGCAACATTAACATCACAAAACGGAACAGGAAATAAATCAAAATTGACGGCGACTGGGGAATAAAAAGTGATGCATTCAACCGTAAAATGGCGTTGGAATCACAAAAGTTGTTTAGGTGCACCACCCACCGATAAAATTGGCTTAATGATGGAAATTTCTGAAGAAAATTAATTGCTATATTTATGTTTTTCATGACTACCTGTCCTGAAATCTAATAAGAAATATTAGTTTATCTTAAATAAATATAAGGCATTTATTTATCTGATAATTAACCCAGCACATTCTGCAGTCGCAACATTTTTAGACTCGCAGATTCCTCTTCTTTTAACATCCAATATGTATGTAAAAATACAGCATTACTGAAAGACGGCTTAGAGTTTATCTCTGTATTGTTGTACAATTCACTAAATCGAGACCACCTTTGGGACGTCTAAATTTTGGGTGGTCTCAGGATTCGGTTTCCAATTAGAGGGTTAACTTTGTGTTAAAAGGAAGAAGATTGTTAGTTGCTTCTTCGAAATAGTGGTCTCCAGGTATAGGGTCTAAGGTATTAGAGAATTGGACAGTGAACTGCACCATGATATATTTTATATATGTATGTATAAACCATAACAACACATTATTTTTTTATGACAGTGGAATCACAATAATATATTGTTTTGCGACAATGCAATATTATCTCAAGCAAGGCTTAAGTATGCTGTTTATTTATTTTTTTACCTCACACACATTATTTTAATCTGTTAATAAAAATTTGGTTTTTATCCTTAGCCCAGGTGCATTTGGTATCCATTAAAATTACAAAATATATTTTTAATTTTTTCCTGCCCTCCTTTGACAATCATTTAAAAGTGAAGATCAATATGCAAGGTATTAAAAAAAACCTCCCCTAAGATGTTTTATTCTTTCTAGATATAGGCAGACAAATTTTAATGAAATCAGAGTACATATGTATAAAACCAAGTTGTTATCCCTAAATTGATTGTTAATCAATGTAATCAATTTATTGTATATGTATATTTCGTCCAATAATTTTAGGTATGAACACCTGTGACAACCATATGTGTAACAATGGTGGTATGTGCAGTCCAGTAGCTAACTCCTGTACAGATTATACATGTATTTGTCCTGCTTGCTATATTGGAAGTTTCTGTGAAATTGGTAGGTTATTGCTACTATTATATAATATAAACAAATGTTACACGTTGGATGGCCCACAGGTGGGGGCTAGGATTACTTACAGAGAGGAATATATACTGAGGCTATGTTCTCACACAGCCGCTAACTGTAATCACGATCCGGATCCTGCTAACCTTTAGCTGCCGTGCGTCCATACGAGAAAATCCCGATCCGGATACCAAGAATATGATGATCGAATCACTGGCCAATAAGAAACTGGAAATTGTAAACATGTACATGTGATTGGTTGATGATAGAAACGTGCTCAACTTGCTAACCGATAGCACTTGTTAACCATTAGTGGTATGCAGATACCGCTAACGGTTAGCGCTAACCGATCGGGCGTTCTCACGCAGGTGCTGACGCTTAGCACTAACAGTTAGCTCCCGATCCGGATACTAGGGCTCTCGTGAGAACCATTCTTTATTGTTCGAAGTGTGGTAAGATATCGCAGGTACGGAAGCAAGTAGTGCATAGGTGAGACTGTTATACCTTGTTTTAGGGAACCTGCCTCTTGCCAATATCAATGATTTCAAATAAAAATAAAATTTTATTTTTGGCCAATTAGCACACCCACCACCATGAAAAAATTGATATTTCAGAAAAAAATAAAAGTTTTTCTTGATTTGTTATTGCGCCCTTTGCTGCCTTAAAATCTCAAAAAAAAACCAAAAAAAATTATGGTAAAATTATGCTAAGTAAAGAAACCTTATAAAAACTAAATTTTATTTTATTTTTTTTTTCTGCCCTCCTCTCACAATCTTTAAAAACTTAGATTTGCGAAACAAGGTATAAAAAAAGTGTTGTTTAAATGTAGCATTGTGTGTGAAAAAGCTGATTTCAGAGTACAGAAGACTGGTAAAAAAAAAGAACTTTGACCAAAGAACGTAAGTATTGAAAAAGACCCCTCGATGTCTGGAAAGATTTGTGTGAAGTTTAATTGCAAGTCAGCCAGTGGTTTCCAATAAAATTTGTACCAATATCAAATGTTTGAATTTTTATATTCATAGCAATTGACGGATGCTACAGCCGTGTCTGTAACAATGGAGGGACTTGTGTGCCAGATCCATCTTCATGTACTGTAGCAACATGTATCTGCACGTCCTGTTTCACTGGACAAAATTGCGATCAATGTAAGTAAATATACTGGGCTTATTTGTGTGAATTGAGAGTGGATATTCCATACATGAAGCTGCAGCTAAAGCTTGGTTTCTATGCAATCGCTACACGCTTTCCCCGACAGCTTTCAGGGATGCTGATTGGTTGTTCGCACCGGGAGCCTTTCCGCCTGCGTTGGGGACTGCTACTGTACGCAGGACAACGATTGCACTGAAAACACTGTAGCGACAGTATAGCGATTATAAGGAAACCAGTCTTAATCTGAATTTGATTTTAAATGTATGAAACTACTGAATATGTTAGTGGTTAAGTGGCTTGCCATCCAATCTCAGGGTCCATGGATTCAGATTCTGTCACAGTAACACAAATTTCTGCAGCAACGATCAACAAGCAAACTCACCCTTATCATACAGTAGTTTGCTGTCTTCCTATTGTACGTTTAGTGCTTCTTTGGCAATAAAGAATAATTTTAACAACTAGCAAGTGCGCTTGCTTTGTTCGCTTACCCTCTAGTAAAAATACTGATATGACCACTAAAAGAAGATCGGTTGCGTGGTTTTGAAAGCATTTTCATATCATTTTTCATTACATCAGAATGTTTGGAAAACACTAAAATGAGATGAAACAGCAGTACTGTAGTGGTAATTGGTATATGGAAATATCATTCATTCTCTTCATAATTTTCCTTGTAAAATGTTTTATTTTGCACTAAAATTAAAATTAGCATGATTTGAAATATAGGTAGGTCTACAATATAGCAAATATTTTGGTCAGGGGCAGCTAAAGCAAAGTTTTACTGTAACTCATTGAGAACCCAAAAACCGACTGTACTTGACAAAAATCTACTGTGTTTGTTAATTGACTGTGTCAGAAACCCGAGTGTGCTTGAAAATTGACTGTTTGAAATTTGCCTTTTGGGTTCCATATAAAACTGCATAAAATCAACACATGAATGTTGCTCTTTTGGCATCCCATATCAAACTACAAATGGAACATGGAAATACGTTTTTACCAAAACACCATTTTGCCCCAGTAAATGCCAGTGAAAAATGTCTGTAAAATTCATTATTTTTCCCACAATTAATCTGAAATATGGATGTTATTACAGTTTTTCATCCCAGTAGGTTTTGAAAATGAGACGTTTATTTAGGCCCCTTTTGTCTGTTATAATTTCCTGCTGTGAAATATGCATAATTATAATATAGATAATATTCACTCCAAAAACCAGTCTTCAAAAGCCTTGTAGACTGGTACAGAATTGAGGCCAATTGATAAATTTCACTGGATGCATCACCCATTATGTGCTTGTAAAGTGATGTCAAATTATTAAGCGACGCTCACATAAAGCCCGGATTCCGGTCCGGAGCCCGGACAAAAAATCTTTATTTGGGTTAAGAACGTGTGCGTTTTAATTGGTTTGAACCAACCAAGCTTGTTGCTGACTGGTCCAATGAAAAAAAACGTATGATTTCACATACAAATAGCTCTCAGATCCATTGCTCTGGATCCGAAGTCCGGATTGGAAATCATACAAATTTGATGATGATGACGGTCCTATTCTTTACCACTGAACCCATTTTTCACGATTTTTTGTCCGGTGGTTCAGGCTCTAATTTCTGGGCTTGAGGTTTGAAAGGCAAGACACTTATCTACGGTTTTCTCTATCCAGGAGTATAAGTGGGTATCTAGTATCTTTAAACACAAATGTGCTGAATGCAATATTATGGCATGTTCCATAGGCCTTTAAATGACTGGGGTAATCATAATCACATATGCATGTTATTGCTATAAATTCACAATACTAATATTACTGTATTATTTTTGTATTATTTTGTATCTTCAGCAATTGATCAATGTGCCAACCACAATTGCATGAATGGAGGAGTTTGTGTTCCAGTGCAAGGAGACTGCAGTAGCTACAGTTGTGTCTGTGCTGAATGTTACACTGGAAAATTCTGTGAATACCATACATGTGAGCATTTAAAGGATTTGTTATTATTGTTTTAAAAGTAACAGTTAAGCCGGGCACTTACTCCGCCTGGTGTGGTGGCACCAGCGGGAGGAAGGAGAAATTTTCCCCCTTGTCGGCCCCTTGGTTTTGACCCCTCCGTCGGACATGTTGGACCCCTTGTTGGCGAATATTTGGCGCCACCGTTGATTCTATAGAGAACGGCACAACACACGCGTGCAACACATCATTTTGAATGACGATCCATTAAGACTGCCACCATCAATCAGCACTCACAAGGAGTTGAGTGATATTCGTGCCCGGCTGATCATAGGAAAACATTACTAATGTAAGATCTCTAACGCCGCACACTCACTGCATCGACGAATTCAACTCCGTTCTCTGTGATCGATAGATGATGCGACATCGTCTGCTGATTGTCGGTGGCAGTCTGAATGGATCGTCATTAAAAACGATCTGTTACGCGCACGTCGTCATGTTGCGTTCTTCATAGAATCGCATCGGCTGACGACCGTCGTTCGCTGTGCGTGCCCAGCTTTAGAATCGGATATTGATTGAAAGAAAATATATAAATGGAAACAACATAAAAAATATGTAACCCCAAGCGGGATTCAAACCCAGCACCTTTGCTGTCACAACATTATTTACACTCACAGATTCCTTGTCTTTTAATGTCTAAAATATATGTAAGAATATAGCATTGTTGAAAGATGGATTAGAGGTTATCTCTTTATTATTGTAGAATTCACTAAATCGAGACCACTTTTTGGACTTTTTGAGTTGTTCTCAGGGTTTGGTCTCTAATTAGAGGGTTAACTTTGTGTTTAAAAATAGAACATGCTTTGAGAAAGTGGTCTCAAATTTGTCGGAATTACAGGGGTCTCGAATTGGACGGTGAACTCTACTGTTATATATGTGAGGTCTCACCACAAAATATGTCTCATGGTTAGAAAATAAAAAATTGAGTTTATATTGTATTTTAGTAGATCACATTATAAGCTTTAATTTGGTCTTTGATTAGCTCTGCTCGAAAGATTAACAGACCTGTACGAATAATAGGACTAGAATTACATGATATGTGCAGAGAACACTGTTTTAGTAAGAAAATTCACTTAAGATGTATGCAGTCACAAAATATAAGTATCAAGTTATTCTGAAACATTAAAATAAAAATTTTGACTTATTTTGGTGAATATCTCTGTATGATTTCATTTTGTGGTGAAACCCAACATATTTTGTGTATGTAAATTGTATATAGATGAAAATAATGATATTCATATTTCTTGCAGCAAATATTCTTCAGTTCAACCTTTGTGGAGCTTCGCCTTGCAGCAATGGTGCTCAATGTTTCACAAGTTATTTCAGCACCAGCACTCAAGATCTAACTAATGATTACAGCTGTCTCTGCGAAGTGGGTTTCACTGGACCTAGCTGCTTATTCCCAAGTAAAGTAACAATGAAAAATACACTAACATACTTACTGCAGCTAAGGCGAGACTTATTTTATATTTTGTTTAGCGAACCCATCGCTTGCTAATAATGATGATTTTAAATAAAAATAAAATTTTATTTTTGGCCAATTAACGCACTCGCTGCCACGAAAATATTGGAAATTTCATTAAAAAATAAAATTCTATATATCTTTATACACACTGCCGCTGCCTTCAAATCTCCAAAAATAAAATATGTATATTTCTTCCTAATTATATAATTTTAAAGCATTTAACCATCCCAAAATAAAATGGATTAAAACTTTCAGACCAGAATATCATGATACACTTTCCTATCTTCTCAAAAAAGTGTATTGAAACTATATGTATTACATTTTGGATACCATCCATGAATTATAGTAGGGAACTCGCAATAAAATGACATGCAAGGCTAATGTGAAACTTATTTCTAACACAGTCTCACATTTTACATTTGAACCAAACATGGATCAACATTTGTTCTAATATTAACCAGTCCTCTGAAATGTAGTTATTGTGCATTTCACAAACAACCCTTCCCTTTCACACCAATCTTTAGCTCAAACACTACCAATGAGTGATGTGTGTGGTACCACTAACCCATGCCAGAATGGAGGAACCTGCAGGAATCTGTTTAACTCTTATGACAACTCCATCAAATATATTTGTGAATGCCAATTCGGATCTATTGGACTCAACTGCGAACAGCAAGGTAAGTGCTAATGATTAGTTTTTAGAATAGAAAAGAAACCAGCAGTATGGAATTTTTTTTTCAATGGCTTCATTAAAAATAGAAACCTACCTAGAATTATAATTAAATGCACAAAATTGTTTATTTCTTAAGCTGAGCATACCCTTAAGATTTTTTTTTCCGTGAATACTTACCTTGATATCGGCTAATTACCACTGTTCCTTTAAGAACACCCTTCGATAAAAATAGAACTGTCCAATTGTCCCAGCAAGTAACTGCATCCACATATGTGGGGTTTGTTTAACCGAGTGGATTATGCTAAGTAAAAGTGACTAGGTTAGTTTTACTGAGCTGAAATGTTCAATGCGAACAGCGCAACTCAATTGATGACTGTTCCAGCCTCCATCAGTCACGAATTAGCATCCTTAGCTCAATAGTTGATATTCACGGCTTGGTTAGTTTAGATATTACCACCACTCTCAGTAAAAAAAAATTAAAAATTCAAGCATAGACAGTGTTAAGATTTACCCATTGGGATGTCTCAGTAAAATCTTCCCTTTTTTAAGTCCAGTGTGATTACGGATTAAGTATGTTGCATTATTATATTTTCTTGTAAGCATCCATTTTTTGTCGACTTTTGTGACTGTTTTATATAAATTAATATTATATGATGCTTATGGAGCAAATTAATATATATATTTGTGTATTGTTTTTACGTAGATCCAAACGTCCTTGGCCGCCGTAAAAGAGACACCTATGAAAATGTGGAAAAAGGTAGGAAAAACTACTTTACGTCATTGGCAAATACTTGTGATTTGCCCAAATATGGGTATGATGTGACATCATCATGCCCATATATATATGGATGTGATATAAGATTATGATGCCTATATTTGGCAATTCAAACAAATTTGTCGCTTAAAATTGATCTTTAGGCAGTGTTTGAACAGACTTGCATTTGCCCTTGATCATACTAATCATACAGTAGGTGTTTCCATGTCTGTTGTAAAGCTCTGTCCTGATTATAACATTTTTTTGGACAACAAACTGTTGTATGCCCATATATAGTCATGCTATGCCTATCTATATATGGTTTGATTTAATGTTATGACCATATTTTGGGCATGTCACATGTTTTTGTCACATATAATTTGTAATTAATGCTGTAATTCATCAGATAGTCTGATTAAACATTTTGTGTTTAGCCAGATAAAATTCTTGTGCTTGTTATTCCTCTTTTTGAGAAAACATTATGAATCTTTGGATGGCCAATATGTACATAGAAACTTATTATTGGAAATAATCTAAATTTCACTGATCAAACAATTTCATCTGGTGTTGAAATAGTATAAGGTGGTTGTTTGTCTTTGTAACTTCCTGAAAAGGTAAACAAATACTGGTTTTACAAAGAAAAATAACCACATTATAAAATCTGCTTTTGCAAAATCAGAATAAAATTTCATGAAACAATAACAAAATTCATTTATGTTGAAAGCAAACATACTCTTAAAGCGTAATTTGTGAAATAATAAATGTTTTACATGTAATATAATTAATACATGATACATAATCTGTGTACTATCTTTTTAGATGAGTGTTATTGTGTATATGGTGAATGTATCATCAGTGATGTTGGAAACAAGTCGCATTGTCTTTGCAGTGATGGATATACTGGTGAACATTGTGACCAATGTAAGCATAATTGAAATACTAATACCCATTTCACACTGATGCTATTTTGCAAATATTAACAACTTGTAACAAGTTGTAACCAGGTTAGGATGAGTGTGAAAGCAAAATCCTTGTAAACTTTCCGAGATTACACAGGGGTCCCCTGCGTTATCTCGAAACAAAAACAGACCATCGTGAAATGGGTATAAATCTATACCCTGCTTATATCTAATATTACTCTACCATTAATTTGTGTATATGTATGCATACACAGGCAGGGTTTTTAATACAGTGTTAAAATGAATATATAACACAGTGAAGACAAGCTTTTCTTTATAAATGTTTGTTTATGGTGACAGAACAAAGATAGGCCTACTCATGGGAATATGTGAAATAGGTAACATGGGAACGGGCATGGAAAGCGCCACACCAATATTTTTTTACAAGCACCTCTCTTAAATGACTCTATAAGCACCGCACTGAAGCCTCCAAAAATTGGATAAGTGCCGCGGCGCTTATTCGAGCATTTACGGTATAGTAAAACCATGGAGGTATTATTGAGAAGGAGATCACTTGGCAACAGATCCCTTTGACGCAATAAACCATAGTGTTCCCTCCCTTCGGATCTTATTATTAACATTTTTTCGTTAGCAACAACTTGGCAACGACATGGTTTTATACGCTTCAACACAGCAGTTGTGTGATAAACTGTTTGATTTTAACACATTTAATATCTTTAAAATTAAAAATGTCCCCTGATTGGGTTTTTAGGACTTTTAGTATGTTATTATGTGTATATTTCATGAACGGATTCCGTAAAGTTTTTCTGTTGCAATTAGTTCTCTGTTCATTGTAATTTTTGTCTAAAGATCGATTGGTTCGACTATAAAGCTAAAGCAGCGTAAAACTGAAAATTACTCTGACTTTGGATTGAATTTTCGAATGGTCAACTATCGTTGAGAAAGTTCGCATATGCGACCAAAATATGCG